CTTGCTAGGCACGTTGGACACCTTACTACTCCCTATACCACACCATGGCTGGAGTGCAATGTGTTCCAGCAAAAATAGGGCACATCTTTATCAAATTTGGTGCATCCTGCTAGTTCAGTACATAGCCTGTGTAGATTCAATAATATTTTTAATTCAAATAATGTATGATTTCCTTCCTTTCGAATCAAAGGGGTAATGTCGCCATATATAAATTTTTTGGGGGGTAAAAGGTAAAAAGGTTCCCTGACCCCTGCCATAGATAATACAGTGGTGCCTCAACTTACAACTGTCTTCACTTGCAACCAATTCGAGTTAAAACCAACTCCGGTCACAACATTTTGCTTTGACTTGCAACCGGCGCTTTGAGATACAACCAGAAAAAGAGGCCTCTTTTCCCCATTGTTCCCTCCCTCCCTCCTTTCCTGCCCGTTTTTTAACCTTAGAGGTCATCTTAGGTTTTTTTTTAAAAAAAGTCTCCCCCTAGTGGACAGATTAACTGCTTTTGCATTAGTCCCTGTTTTTAGTCCCTGCTGGAATGGGTTTTGTTGGGGGCTTTTTTGTTTTGTTTTAGACTCCAAACTCTTCCTCCCCCTTGTCTTCTCTCTATCCTCCCTCTTTTTGTGCCCAAAAGCACAAACCTTTGTCTGAGGGGTCTGTGTGCCCCAGTGATGACCTTCTTTCTTTCCTCTTTTCCCCACTGTTCCCTCTCCCTCCTTTCCTGCCCTTTTTTTAACCTTTAAAAATGGCTGGAATGGATTAATCACGTTTCAATGTATTCCTATGGGAAATGATGCTTTGAGTTACAACCAACTTGAGTTACAACCATCATCCCGGAACGAATTCTGCAACTCAAGGCACCACTGTACTGGATGTCACTATACGGAGACAAATATAGAACTTACTTCCACCTCTAAGGTAGAAGCCCCCACCCCTGCCCAAGTGTATATGCATATTCACAGTTGCTATGGCTGTCTACCACATTCAGTTCTACTCATCCAGCTCCATGACACTGCACCTACTATTAACAAACTGAAGCTTCTGTGTTAGAGGAGGCTGACAAGAGTGAGCATTATACATTTTATTTTATTTATTATTCGATTTTTACCACGTCCCTCTAGACAGAGTCTAGAGGGGCAGCTTACAAGCAGTTATAAAACATCATAAATTAGTCATCATAAAACAATCACATAATTAAATCAACAAGTTTAAAAGTTCAAGATGGGGAAAAAGAAAAACTAAAGAAAAAAAATCAAGTGTTGGCTGTAGGGAAGGCCTGCCTAAAGAGTCAAGTCTTTAACTGACTCTTAAAAACACTCAGCGAGGGTGCCAGGCTGATTTCCGAGGGCAAGGTGTTCCATAGTTGAGGGGCCACTGCTGAGAAGGCGGGGGTTCTTGTTCTTTCTTTCCAGGCCTCTCTCGGTGTTAAGCCCCTCAGCCATCTTTCCTGGGTAAAACGAGTGACTCGGGTAGATCTAAGTGGGAGAAGGCGTTCCGCCATGTATCGAGGTCCTAAACCGTTTAGGGCTTTATAAGTCATCATTAACAGCTTCAAGATACAGAATACCACGGAACAGCTTCAGGGAGTGCCAATTTACAGCCATCAGTATAGCTCCTCATCTATAAGGTCAGTGGTCATTGGGGCCAACTACCTCACTGAGTACCAGGAGAATTCTGGATGAACTCCCGGCCACTTGATGCATCAGCGTCTACATCTGCTGCCAGTAATCAGAACTGAGACACACCAAGTGAACCTGGACAGCACTGCCTACAAGTGAATAGAGCTGCCTCCTCCTGGTAGCATCTAAACCTCCTCTCCCATTTTCTCTGTATAAAGAGTTGAAAAATCTGGTGTTGCCTTTTACTGTTCTCAGAGAGCACTGACACTGAGCCATTTGCACAGCCAGATTTACAACACATCTTTACTTGATGAAACAGATGCCAACAACTGCCACAGACCTCTGGTTGCTATGATTTCATCTGTTGCACATGCACCATGTCCCCTGCTATATATAGAAGGAAACTTAGGTGGAGACAGCTTGTTATGCCATATACCTTCCAATCAAATGCTTAAGAGAATACAGAACATCTTAGGCAGTTGAGGATTTTGAAGACAATTCCTCATTCAGCCACAACAGATCAATATGCAGGGAACAATTCAAATAGGAAACAGTGCTTATGCCAGGGCAAGCTGATAAAATTCTTGTGGAAGCGGGTTAACTGTAGAAAATCCACCATAATCTGCCAGTGGTGTGACAGAACGGATCTGCCAGACACAGCACACGGCTTGCGTATATTTGATGTGGACAAACACTATAGCCAGCACCATAATAGTGCTGGGGGACAGCAGACTGGCATCTACTACCAAAACCTTCTCATGATCATGCTCCCATGGGAAATCAGGTTGACACCTGTTTCCTGGATATCATTCCCTTGACTTTTCCCCTGGTTACTGACCCCAGACAGGAGTTACAGAATGCAGGTAAGGAGAATCCTTGCCCAGCTTGTGAGTACTAAAAGCAGTAGTGCATAGCAACCCATAAATAAGGGCTAACAGGTTTGTTGTTGTTTTATTTAAATAAAAAGTGATCTAGGATGACGACACACTACACGGGACAGTTTTACAAAGTTAATGCATATTTACTGTCGGAAAAGAGACATGTTCTTCTCATATGATACTGAAATGTTAGCATGACATGCTAAAGTGGAGGAAAAAAGTTATTCCAACAATGTGTAATTTAATTTATGGAATATCTCCTAAAATACCATATTTGCTGGCGTATAAAACAACTGGGCGTATAAGACGACCCCCCCCAACATTTCCAGTCAAATTATAGAGTTTGTTATATACTTGCCGTATAAGACTACCCCCTCTTCCGTATACCTTCCACACACCAAATAAAAGGTGCTATTCATTGTCACCATTGTACAGCCGCAGTGCGACTGCAGCGCCTCCCGCCTGCCCCTGCATCTCCCTGTGACCGGCATAAGTGCGCAAGTGCGCATGTGTAAGCTCTGCGTAGACAAGGGGCGGGCCGGAGCGCTGCTGCTTCCCACCGATCAGAATGGGCCGGTCACATCGAAAAGGCTGACACCCCTGTCTCGCTGCTGATGCTTGCCACGGCTGTGCTGGATACCGCGCGATACCGGACGGTATGTAGAATGAGGTGGGCGGGCATTGGGAGTCTACTATGAGCACCGGGCGAGCATCGGAAGGCCACTATGGGCAGCTATGTCTATCCCAACTGAAGTGCACCTGGCGTATAAGACGACCCCCCCACTTGGAGGCATGTTTTTCAGGGCAAAAAAGTCATCTTATACACCAGCAAATACGGTATTTTGTGGTGGTCACTAGTTTAAATGGCTTGAAAAGGAGATTAGTCAAATTAGTGCTGATTAAGTCTATCAGTGGGTACTAGCCACAGTGGTTTATACAGAAATCTCTAGATTCAAAGGTAATACACTATGGATAACAGCTTAGGAGAAACAAAGAGAGAAGGCTGTTGCCTCTCTCTCTGTGTGTGTGTGTGTGTAATCCAAAGCCTTCAAAACACATGCAAAGCATGTCATAGAAAATGGCCTTCAAGCAGCATGACAGGACTAGGAAAGACACTCCAAGGCTTTCACTGTCTGTTCAGAGCAAAGGTTACTTGTATTTATCTGGAGATGTTAATAAGTTAGCGAGTGACTTATCTACATATTTGGCTGCTCGTTGCAATTTTGTCTCTTTCTCTAGCAGCCACCCCTTTGCATAACCAATTCCTCTGTTTGCCTCTAAGCACTGTGGAGAAGTGGGGCGGCTTGCTGCTAACACAAACAATGGTTAACTCTTAAACCAAGCCAAAATTTATGGTTCTTCTGGTTGCAAGGACAGTCTTGTGGGCAACTGATAATGTTATCTCAGAAGAGGCTAAGCCAGTCCATATTGTTTTTGTCACATACCCGGATAATCCTAGCAGCCTCCAGCAAGATACTGCTCCGCTCCATGCCTGATTTCTGGCTCCATATTTTAAAGGCAGCCTGTGCACTTTGGACAGCAAGATCCACCTCCTTTTCCCCAGAGAAGAGAAACTTGCCAATTACCCGGCCTGAGGAAGAAAAAATTAAATTCAAACACTGAAAGGCTGATCAGGAATACAGCTGTTAAAATAAGCTCGTTACATATAGAAAGCCCACAGCACAACTGTGACACCTGCCTCTGCCTTATTTCCAGCACCTCTGAATGGTCACAACCTTAATTCCGAAAGCCATTCAGAAGAAGAATGGAAAGAGGATGCTGTGTCCAGGGGTACGCATTCTTGGAAAGAGCTCAAAATTATACAACACTTATTTAGCAAGGAAAGTTGGATTCTTCAACCTGTGCAGATTAAACAAATTTATATAATTTCCCCTAATTTGTATTATATAATTGTTTACTGTTTTCAGTAATTTATTTTTACTCAGTAGTTCTTCTGGCAACAAAAATTGTAACCCATACATATTTAATGCTGCGCTGTCCACCCAGGTTATGAATATTAATATGCTATCTACATGTACCAATGAGAGTGCTAGAGAGGCGGAGTCACGAAATATAAGAGTCTCGCCATGAGGAGGAGTCAGGTGGATGGTGGATTTGGATTTTTGTGGGAAACATTGCTAAGCAAGTACTGATGTGTAGTGAACCGATTAAGACCATTAAGGACTGTTTAGTTCAGAACAAACAATGTTGGCTTAACCTTTCTTATTTGTTATAATAAACTATTTCTACTTTATATAAAATGACACGTTGTCTGGACCTCTGCCATTAACATTGAAAGTTGTTATGAACAACTGGTGGAAGTTGAACAGCTCACGGTGTGAGCGTTTGTTTGGTGAAACAATCAAGACATATGCATTTATATCACTCCTCCCTTCTTGAACAAAAGCCAGCCTACAAGATCCATTTAGAAAATTTATTTCAGAATATATCAATAAACCCCCAGCTTTAATCTATAGGGCAGATGGACAAAATACAGGCTTCTAGGATCTATTTTGGCTGTGCTAGAAACCCAACTATAGTCAAAACCATACACTTGCAATTAAACTATCCCGAGTCCAAGAACTTCTTGGTTACCAGACCAAAAGGCTGTTCAGTGTCCTTCTACACAAAAATCCACTCCTCATCCCAAATCTTCTTACTTTCAATTGTATTACAAGGTTATATTTCTCTGACCTACAAGTGCCTCTTTCATGTAAATGTAAGCAAGATGACTGAATGATCAAAATCAATGTCAAAATGGCCAAAACATTCAATTTCAGTGGGGGTTGAATAATTTTGAACACAACTGTACTTAATGTGGGAAATAAATCATTTTGTTGCTATTATTGAAAAACAGCTGGAAATCAAAAATCCTTATCTCTCTCCAAGATCTACCAGGAGATCAGCATCTACATTCTATCTACTGCTGCAGTCTTCTTCAAGTTTAAGAATCAAAAACTTGGTAAAAATAGAAATCTAAAGCTAATTTGGTCGGGGGCGACAGCAATGCTATATTTTGCATTTTGAGAAAACTGCATCATCAGCCTGACTGTAGTGAAGAAATGCTCAAAGTGAAACAAAATTTATTTTGCAGCATGCAGTCCTGTCACTCAAATAGCTTTTTAAATTACAGTGGACACTCGACATATGCACGGCTCGACATGCATACTTTTTGAGGTATGGACTTCTCCGGCCGCAAGATTTCAAATCGACTTGTGGCCGGAGAATTGACCTATGGACCAGAAGGGGGAGGCGGGGAAAGCGCCAAATGCAAATTTCCCCCTTTCCCCGCCTCCCCCTTCCAGTCCTTAGGCTGCCGATCGTGCCTCTGGATGCCTTCCAGCGCTTCTCCGCCGCTGTACTATGGTGGACACACACTTTTGTTAACCAAAATACATTATTGGCAAGCAATCTTTGGGCATTGTAGCTTGAATTCTTTGTCACTTGCTAGCCACATGACTTAGAAGCAGGTAAACTTTCATGTACTATTACAAAAAATGTATAGTTACGGTATTTTAAATAAAGTGTTTGATGTTGCGTATGTTTTATCTTGCAAGCTGCCTCGGCAAGATTATCATCTTGGAAGACAACAACAAAAAAAGCATATTAAACAAACAAATAGTATGTACTGCTGCAGTAAAGAGTTCTATCTATCTATCTATCTATCTATCTATCTATCTATCTATCTATCTATCTATCTATCTATCTATCTATCTATCTATCTATCTATCTATCTATCTATCTATCTATCTATCTATCTCCATCCATCCATCCATCCATCCATCCATCCATCCATCCATCCATCCATCCATCCATTAAACTGCCTGTGAACATTTTTAAACACCATCCTTAAAAATATCTGTGCTTAGACAACTCTCAGAAATATACTGTCATCATTAGTTCAATGTCCTCCATGCCCCTCCTAGCCAAGTTGTTCATCTCAGCAGATTTAAGTTCATGGTTGTATCATAAATAGAAGATAACAATAATGTAACATAAAAATCAGTAAACTATTCCAAAGGCCAACAGAGATTCATTTTAGCTTCCATTTCTGGTGTTAGGAAATTGGGTTGCTTAAACAATATAACAATAAAACCAGAGTAATGTAACACAAAGTCCCAGAGCAGATTCCCATTCAGCTTTTGCTGTAATTCTGATAACAGGAAAGGGCAGCTGTCCTCTATTTTTGGAGCTGACCTGTAGTCACTGAACTTCAAACTTCAAAAATAAATAAAACAAAAATCACACTATAGTTACCAGTTGCTGGTTCATATATCACCTCAGTGTGATCCCCATCTTCAGGCTGGACACGTGTTCCCCCTCTGTAGTTGAGAGGTTGGTCAAGTTGAAATGTACCAGTGGCGGTGCTCATTGCAGTACAACGAAGTCCGCGGGGGAAGCCACGCAGAAGGAACAAGCTGGAACTAAGAAGCATCAGAGGGCTAGCACAAAGGGACACGTCTGTAGAGAAAGCAATGCCTGTCAATAGTCCTTGCGTGAATCTTCTGATACAGCTGACGGACACACACACACACACACACACACACACACACACACCTTACACATTCATGCCCATCTCAGCCAGAAAAAGCACTCAGTACTGCATGATGTCAAAGCCACTCATTAACCTTTAAGTTACTTAACTGGGAGCGGGGAGGATGGCCCTCCAGGTATGGGACCACAGCTTCTATCATCTTCACCCACTGACTACTGTGCTGGGGGCTGATGGTACTTAGATTTCAACAATATCTCGAGGGCTACAAGTTCCCCATTCCTGTCTTACACAATTGGTAAGCTTGTTACCTAGATCTGTGCTGCACAAAATCTCTTCCATGTACAGTATTTTGCACCTTTGACACACACTCCCACTGTACATAAAGAACTTTTTTCTTTGCTAAGCATAACACTTGCGTTGCAAAACGACCACAAGCTCCAAACACGACGCTGCTAAACATTTTTGTTCTCTTTTTCCTTATTCTGCAGCCCTTTTCTTACATGTTCCAGGAAGCAGGCCCACCGTGATCCTCCCGTTCAAGTCTGGAGAGGAAGAGGGAGCAAAGGAACACACTCCAAATATGTAAGAAAACAACGTATCTGTGCAGCTACTTAACCTTATGCAGCAAGTGGCACCCTGGGCAAGGAAAACTGGGCCGCGATCGCCACCGCAAGTAAATGTAAATCCATTCAAGGCTCAAATTCAGAGTTTGGGACTGCAACGATCATAGAACGTTATTACATATTACAAAATATGGCGCAAGGCACAGCATGGAGTCTGAGGACACAGGAGGGAAGCCCCACCACCACCACCACCACCACCTCGCATATCGTGCCCCTTTCCTTTCACAGAGCAGGGCAACCGACGGAGAAAGCGCCGGGCGAGGCAAGAGGCGGGAGGCAAGCTCGTCTCTCTTCCCTCGTATATACCAAGTTTGGGGCAAAGGAGAAAGGCAAGCGGCAAGAAAAGGTCCTTTTCCATAGAGGTGGGTGGGACCCTCTCCTTAGTGAGCAAGGAGAGGGACTTCCTCTCTCCCGGCCGGCGCCCCAAAACCCTTCACGGGGAAAGCACGGGCCACCCCTCCAGGGCAGGTCGTCGCCGAGGAGCCACCTTAACCCTCCGACCTGCGTGCAAGGCATGCAAGTGCAGCTCAGGGCTGCAGAGGGAAAGCGCTGGGGGGGGGGGCCGACGCAATTCCCCGGGGACTGAGCCGTAAGGCCTCCATTTTAAGGGACCCGCGCCCCCCCCCCGACAACCTCCCCTCCTGAGTGCGGGAGCGGAGACCCTTCCAGGGGCGGCCCCTCCGCTCGCGCCCGCAACCGCCCCTCGCCACACTCACTCGCCGGCCTCTCCCACCGAGCTCCTCCAAGTCGAGTCCTGCTAAGTCTCTTAAACGGACTTTGGGATAATTTGCAAGAGCCCCGCCCCCCCAACCGCCCCTCTTCCCGACGGCCGCTCCGTCTCTCTCGTGCAGAAGCAGGAACAGCCCCCCCCCGTCTCCTTTCTCGCCAACGCAGAACGAGCGCACGGGAGGGAGAGGGGGCGCACCACCTGCTACGGGGCCCAATCCACTTCGAGGATGCAATCCGCCTCCCACCCTATTGGCTGAAGCAACCCGCGAGGCAGCCGCGGGCGCTCGGCAGACACTAAACAGGACTTGCTGGCGGAGACATTCCAAAGGGTACTACTCTGCCTGTGGCTGTGATTGGAGATATCGGGCAAGAAAAGAAGGTGACACCAAGACAGTGCGTTTTTAAACACACAAGTTGCATTCCTTATGGAAAAAATTCTTTTAAATGTTTACAGTACTTGTGTTTCAATTCCAATGCAGGCTGTTATTCCCAGGAGTCATGATGATTGTGAAAGAATGTTTTTTTAAAAAATGGCCCTGCAATTTTGAAATTTTTATTTATGTTTTAAAATATCGTGCAGCCATATATTTTGCTCTTACGAGCAAAAAAAAGCATTCTGTAAGTTAAATAAAAAGTAGGGATGCCCCAAACAATAAGTTATGAACCTGGACCTCTGATCGGCACCAAATTTGGCACACATGTACCAGAAGTTCTGCTCTTGCTCTGTGCCAAATTTGGGGACATTTGGGCAAAGAATTTTTGAATTGTGATACAGTATTTTTAAAAGGTAGCACTGTTTTACTGTTCACAAACGAGCAACTTTCAGCTAGGGTAGATGGAAAAGAGATAAAATACTTTGATAAGACAATATTATGCTTATTTTATTAGTTTATTCATGTGCCACATTTCTCCCAACAAAGGACCCATACCTATTTCTCCCAACAAGGGAGAATTAGCCTTTTTTTTAATACACAGGAATTCAGCCATTCATGGCTTTAATTCAGAGTTTTAAATTAGACCTATTTGCATACCTCCCCCCCTTAGCCTTTTTTTAATACACAGGAATTCAGCCACTCATGGCTTTAATTCAGAGTTTTAAATTAGTCCTTATAAAACCAGAAAACCCCTCAAATTACTCCTTTAAAAAAACTTCCAAGCATTCCAAAGTAACTACAGCACTGTATTTGCATAGCAGAACACTCTGATCAATTGAAATGTGTCTGGAGTAGCCAGACAGCTAATACAGAGAAGGTGTCAGACCCATTCACTGTGAAATAGCGCATGGCTTTGCAGTCATGCAAAAACAGATCTGAAACACAGATCCTTATGGATCCATATGATTTTCCTGCAGAATCATCCCCAAACCACTGTCCAGTCATATGGACCATCAATGACCACACATTACAAGACAGAAATCATGGTTCCTCTAGTGGTGCAACATAAATCAGAGGTGCTCATAGATTCACATGATTTTTCTGCAGGGTCAACCCCAGACTGCTGTCCAGTTATAGGCCCCATTTGTGCCCATAGATTACAACACAGAAATCATGGGTTCCTGAGTGCATGGCTTTGCATTGGTGCAAAAACATTGATTCAGGGTATGGACAACAACTTTAGAACTGCAGATCTGGAAGGGACCCTATAGATCATCAAGTCCAACCCCTGACAAGGAGGCACAGAGAGGAATTGAACTCCCAATCACCATTCAGCTGCCCAGCAGTTCTTGGATCCACTTGATTTTTACATAGGATCATCCCCAAACCAATGTCTAGTCATACACTGCATTTGTGATCATAGATTACAACACAGATATCATAACTCCAGACACATTCTGATTGGTCAGAACGCCATGGTATGCAAATAGTTCAGTTCTTTAGAAAGTTTGCGTTTCTATTGTATGTGCTGGGTAGGATAGACTCAGATTACTCATTTTTGCTCAAGTGAGATTTCAGGCTTGACTTGATTGAGCATCCACTTTTCCAAACTCTTCTCTCTCTTTTTTCTAAATTTCAGAAAGCAAAGGGACATATTTTGGAAAACATGTACACAACATATCCATAGAGGTTTTGGTCTAATACAGCTTTTCTTTTGCAGCTTGCGTAACTCAAAGAAAGGGACTGGAAATGGGAACATAGCTTTCTAGTCTGCATTTCTTTAGTTTGACCGAGAAATTAAAAAGTATGTTTCTACATTGTATATGTTGTACCTACTCACACCTTTACTTCACCATTTCATTAAGTCCAAAACAGGCCTTCAGAATATTTTGACACTACAGCCACATCCAAGCAATTCTCCCTTCTCCCAGTAGTCATAGTACAGATCATATGCTCGTCTTCTGGACTCCTCTACCACTGGGTAATTCTATAATCTATATGAAAGAAATTTCTGATCGAATCTATGGGTAGCATGTGTACATTTTAAACCCCTGATTTTAAAAGCCAGAAAATTCAATTCTTAAAAAATATTCTGGTTTATGAATGTGGGATATTGCGCTTCTGTACCCATGATTCAAAAAGCCAGGAAATGGCCCAGTGCAGTATTACTGGACAGTTTTGTGCCCATGTTGCCAGCAAGAAAATGGATGCCAAGTTTTATATAGCAAAGGACAGTCTGAATGTTGACAACACCAATGGCAATAGTCAAGATGGTCTACAGCAGTGGTCCCCAAACTTTTTGTCACAGCGGGGGGAGGATGGGGTCCATGTGCGGGGAAGTCGGGGCACCCCCGCACTCACGTGCATGCATGAGGGGTTGGGGGGCTCACTCAGATGCGTGCACACTTGCGTGCATGTGCAAAGGGGTGTGGGGCACTTGCGTGCATGCATGAAGGGGCAGAGGCGCTTGGGGGTACTCACGCAGGCACGTGTGCATGCGCAAAGGGGCGGGGGGCACTCGCAAGGGGCACACACACACTTGCGTGCATGTGCAAAGGGGTTGTGCAGGGGGGAGTGCATGTGGGGTGGGTGGGAGATTTGTCTCTGCAGCCCAGGCCAGCCCAGGCCTCGGACTGACACCAGGTTGCAGACTGGGGGTTGGGGACCCCTTGTCTACAGTATACCCTCTTCTGCTCACTCCCATTCAAACTTGAAAAACAGCCCTGACAGTTGCTTTGTGTTTGGGTAAGAACTGGTTAGCTGATGAAATAAGGAGTCAGGTTCTGGGATTTTCCTTGCATGATGTCACTTTGTGAATGGCAGTGGTGCTGGGGGACTCCCGTTCAGCACCTTGACCATGAGCCTGTGGAGTGTCTCAAGGTTCCATGATTCCCCATACTGTTTCACATATACATGAAAAACCTGAAAGAGGCTGTCCAGAACTTTCTGACAAAGTGAGACATGATCTGAGCGGCAAAGGCTGCAAACTGGACAATTTCATCTAGAAACACCTTACTGAAATCACAGGGCAAAACATTTATAGGTTTCCCAGCTTCAGCTCTTATCACTGTATCAGGTAGACAGCATAAGTTGACTATGACATTGTTCCTGTTATACATCGATAGGTATGTTACCCTGCGTTTTTTCAAGGCAACTGATCTAAAATGACATTGAAAGTTCCACATCTGAATTCTTCTCTTGAGAAAAGGACAACTTCGCCTGAGCCTGGCGTTACATCATAAAGTTTGTTTCTCTTTCTTTGCCTCCCTGTAGTTGCTGAATAGTCTTGTGTTGCCACAGAGTTTCCAGGCTTCCAGTTCAGCTCTTCACACCTATTCTGAAGTGATTTCAGAAGCTTATTCAGAGAATAAATTAGGTCCACCGCTTTCTTCAGGTCCAACTTCAACTCCTTTAATAGCTTTTTGTGTTCTGTTGAAACTGTTCAAGAATTAAGTTTTAGATCTTGGCTATCAGAGCAGTTTCAAAACAATCCATTTTCTCTACCAATGTCTGAGCTTCATATCTTGCTTCAGGTTTTTGCTCCAACTCATGTTCAATATCTCTGAGAGCATGTTGAATGCAATTCTATACATTTGCAAGAGCTTCAGTAGCATTAGATCTTGCTGACCAATGAGTGTCTGACAGGGACTTCACAGTTGGTACTCTTTTATTTCTTTCAAGAGATTTAATTGGAATTACCCATCTGTGAACTGAGGCACAAAAAAGGAGCAAAATCTTTGTATGAAACCAAAATAACTAACAGCTTCAACACAGTAAGAGGCAGCAGACTGACCAAAAGATTTGATGAGTGAGCAGCACAGAGAATCAAAACTGCTTCTGGATTCTTACTCTCTGGCTTGCATTTCTGTGTAGTTACTGGACATATTGCTTACATTGTTGTTGGACAGCCTTCTCTAGTCTTCAAAATTAATACCTTTTGTGATGCTCAAGTCTCCCTAAGGAGCATATGGCATTTGGGCAGGGAGTTCCACAGGCCACAAATCTACCACTTTATGCTGAGGCAAGTTCTCAACCTCCAGCAGTGCATAGCATCTGCGTCTTGAACAAGCCTGACCCTTAAAGAACATTACTTTACTCAGTACTTTGCAAGTACTTCCACGTGGGCTTTGTGATTCCTTAGAACTCACAACAGCTAATTTAAATAGGACTTCTCTATGGTAGCTAATCAATGACCTTTTCCACTCTTCTGGAATTTAGCCAAACCTTACTGGTTCAAGAGACTAGTCCTCAGTTAGAATTTTTATAATTATTTTTATTAAGAAAATACAGTTTCATAGAAACAGTTTGTTTTTGCTTAAGTATTAGCATAAAGACATGTTAAAAGCATTACCATAGTTAAATACAACTACTTCCCATTAAAATAAGAAGCACTACAAAGCTGAACTAAGGTGGGCTAGCCCCACCTCCTTCTTTCTTACTATGCTACATCCTGTACCCTTCAATCCATCAAGTTACATAACTCAATCCATCATGAATTTCTCTTAGGAAAAAAGTCCTCTCAGACATAACCCATTGTCCATGTTTCTACATTCCTCGGACCTCCCTCTTCATGGCCGTAAACCAATTAACTCAAAGAGGGGTAACTGTCCACTCCGCCTCCAGTTCTCATGGAGATGCAGGTGTGTTATCTCCATTCCAATTAGATGGGAATTTGTTAGGTCTTCGCACTGGGGCCTCTTCGACCTTGCATTCTTATCAGGATTCACTCTGTACCAGCCTGGTTGTAAATTAGGAAAAACAGCCTCTCAGCCT